GTTGGACAGGTGTACCTAATAAAGTGGCCGGTGAGTGTATATTTGTTGTCAAAATACCTTTTAGTACATATGTTGTTAAAATAAAATGAACAGTCCAATGATCATTTTACTGATATGTATAAAGACTGCAAAATCTTCAAGTCTGGATGAACTTGGAGGCAGTTTGAGGATTAATTTTTTATGCTTTTTTAAGCTCAAAAAAGTGTGGGGGGGGGGTCGTATTATAGATGTGATCGTATTATACATGAGGTCGTGTTATATACGAATAAATACGGTAAGTTTATTATAAGAAAATATATATATAAAAAAAACAACACACACAAAGTACCAAAAATTGGTACTGTTAGGTACTGGTACTGATTCCCAGGTACCAGATATTGGTACTGAATCACTTCAAATGTCAAAGGTACACATCTCTATCCTTATGAGGACAAAAGGTCCATCCTGATTGGTGGAAGTCCTGTTGGTGGGTCAGGGATGGGGTGCACTGATTCATGTGTGACTCAGTGTTTACAGAGTGGAAACTGTTGTCTGCTGGTAGATGTGGTCCAAACAGAACCAGAAGTGATTTGTGTTGCTGTGACTTGTGTGTCTGCAGGTTCATGGCTCAGCACCCAGAGATGGACTTCTCCAAAGCTAAGTTCAGCTGAGTGTCCTGAGTGTTTAATAAGCTGCTGCTGGACCAACATCARACCTGTGTGCTTGGTCTGATTCCTGCAGACTGAGTCAGACAGAGTGTCTCTGCATGTGTTYTGTTTAAACATGTCCTTTTTTAATCAACAATTAAAGAGTCAACTGTGAGAAATTTCTTTCTTTGTGTTGTTTTCACAGTTTGTCTCATGAACGCAGGATTGTGAGGTGACAGAGCTGAAACATGTGTGATATAAATATTCCTGTTACATCTGGTTTAAGTTTGAGTTACTGGGTTTGTTTAAGAGTTTTACACTAAGATAATCTGATGAGGTTGTATAAATACATTTATTCTTTAAAATATAATTGAGTTTTGTTGATGACTCTGAAACCATCTGTGTCAGTATTTGATAAATATCAGCATATTTTTCTAAATTTGATTTATTTTTATGTTTTTCTAAAGTTGAATAGATGTGGCCCCAGTCTTCAATCAGATTAAATAAAGTTCATCATTTGGACAGGTCCTCCTGCTGATTGTTCTGAAAGTCTTAAGCTTCATGAGATATTTTGCTAACAGACAAAMTGAAAGCACACATCAGCAGCTGATAAATATTGTCAAGTTAATTRTCTGCAGGTGGAATTTGTTGCACTTCAGCCACATATAGAAGAAAAAAGATAAAAAGTTTATATTATTACCCACAAGAGGGCAGTGTTCCCCTTCAGGTGACTCCAGAAAACATCCCACATAAAATAAAAATGAAGTAAAAAAACAGCAAATTATCTCAAAATTACTGTGTTCTCTAAGTGACGAAACTGAAAAGTTGTTTTCAGGTGAGAACCTAAATAACTGAGTTAAATAGTGACTGGTTARAGGCTGGGCTCCAGTTTAAAACCTGTAACTGGATTAATCCTAAACTGGGTTTCTTTGCACAGTTCTATAAAATAATAAATACACACTTTGGGGTTTAAGTGACAAAAACTACATTTGACTGTTTTGGAAACATTAAAGTGTCAGATATCAGGTGTGAATGTTTCCAACCTGCAGAGAAACAAACTACAGCTGAGGTTCATCATCAGTGTGAGAAATAATCCAAATATCTGCCACAGGATTCATCCCTCACAGATAATCTGAGTCTGACTGGGATTAGTCAGAGGCCACGCCCACACAGCAGCTACAGCTGTTTCATATTCAACATATTCTTACACAGGTGTAGCTTTATGTGTAACAAACCCTAAAATACGTTTGTAAAAAAACAGCTGCCAGATAAACAAAAGTAAATTCAGTTTCAGTTTAGGGTGTAGTCTACGTAAGACCACCCTCACAGATGATCGTACGGGAAGATCTGACACAAACACACACAAACACACACACAAACACAAACACACACAAAAATTTGTTTTGTTCACAATTTTGGTAACAATAAAGGGTGAAAATTCAATACAAAGTCAAATAATTATAATAAAAGATGTTTTAACTCAAACTTTTAACTCAAAGGAAAATGTTGAGGTACACTGGAGCAGTCTACATGTTCTC